CAGGAAATTTGGCTTCAAATTCCCAAAATGTTGAAGTTTTCTCTTTCATTTTTTGCTCTTCTGAGAGGAAATGGTTGAAACCAAGACATGGCCAGACAAATTCGTTGTGTTTATCACAGAGATAACTGTAAATATTCCCTCAAAATTGAAATAAAATCCAAATTTAATCCCTAATTCTGCTGGCAGCAAGAACAGACAGMGTTGAGGAGTTTTCTCACAATGATYATTCGTGCTGGAATGAGTTGGCTCTGAAATAGGAAATCAGCTGACTCTGAGGGGATGAAAGCTTGGAATTTTATCCCTCTGAACAAAATTCAATGAAAAAGTGGAGGGTGTTGCCCTATTTTGGAAAGGTCAGAGCTCAGCAGTGACAAAAATACAATTTCTTTTCAATTTTAGCAAGAAATAATTCCTGAAAAAATGAGATTTTCTTTGTCTCCTTGAGCTGGAGATCGATGTTTCTTCTCAAAGTAAGAATTAAATGCATTTTTAGGAGCCTGCTCTAGAAAATGTGGTGTTTGATGACATCAGCCTGCATTCTTGAAGTTTTTTAGAGGCTTCTGGACATAAAATAACAGTTATTTCAGCCACAATGAAATCCAGTTGARCTTAAAAATTACTTACAGCTGAAAAAAAAGACCTGATTTTGTATGGGACRGGGAGAAATGTGAATTAACTTCTCCCTGCAGCTTTTTCCTGAATTGYTGTGTTTTCTGACACAATTCAGGATGGGTTTGCTTGGTTTTTTTGGTGGAAAAACCCGGATCAGGTGTGAGGATTTTGTAAAACCAGAAAATTGCTCTGTGGTAGGGATGAGGTGTTTGAGTGAAAAATTTGGATTTCCATGTTGTTCTGAGGAAGAAATAGGCATTTCCATGTTGTTCTGAGTGAAAAATATGGATTTCCACATCATTTTGAGTGAGGAATATCCATTTTCACATTGTTCTGGAGGAGAAATGTGCATTTCCTCATTTTTCTGAGGGAGAAATATGGATTTCCACATTATTTTGAGGGAGAAAAATGTATTTCCACATTGTTCTCAGGGGAAAATATGCATTACCACATCGTTCTGATTGAAAAATACACATTTCCACATTGTTTTGAGTAAGAAATATTCATTTCCACGGTGTTTTGAGGGAGAAATATGCATTTCCACATTGTTCTGTGTAAAAAAATACACATTTCCACATCATTTTGAGTGAAAAATACACATTTCCTCATTGTTCTCAGGGAAAAATATGCATTTCTACATTGTTTTGAGTGAAAAATATCCATTTCTATATTGTTCTGGAGGAGAAATGTGCATTTCCACATTGTTCTGAGTGAAAAATATGCATTTCCACATTGTTTTGAGTGAGAAATACACATTTCCACATCATTTTGAGTGAGAAAAATGCATTTCCACATTGTTTTGAGTGAAAAATACACATTTTCCCATTATTTTGAGTGAAAAACATGCATTTCCACGTGTGTTGTCACACCCCACATGGAGTGGGAATCTCTCTGAATCCCTAAAGAAGCCAAAGCAGCCCCTGGAGGTTTTTTAGCAGAAATTCCTTTCACCAAAGTCCTCCTGGGTTAATCCTGAGCAAACACACTTTTCCCACAGACCGCCCTTAAAACTGCCCAGACCCCGTGTTTTTGGTGCTAAATTTAACAGCAGGATTATATTTCAGCCTCCTTTCACCCAAAATATTTTTATTTTTAACAAAACTCCCCGCAAAGCTGAGAGAAATCACCAGATCTGGGAGCCACCTCAGAGCAGCTTCTTCAGCTCCAACCCATTCATTTTTTTTCCCCGTTTTTCCCACTAATTTTTGATCTSAAAATAATCTTTATTATTCCTGGAATCCCGCTGTTTAATTATTTTAGGATGGGCTGTAATTAGTGAGGAGTGGAGCTGCACTGAAAAAAAAATCCTCCCTGTGCCAGAACTCTATTCCCATGTCCAGAGAGGTCGAGAGATGTGGTTTGAGGTTTGCAGAAAAGGAAAAAAAAAATAAAAATCTCAGCTCCTGAGGACTCCCAGGATTTTCTCATTTCTCGTTGGGTGTTTGGGGTTTGAATTTCTGATTTAGTGGGAGAAGTGAAATTCAGTTTGGGCCATGAGTAAGGAGCTGATGCAGCAGGTGAAAAATGAATAATTTGGGGTTTTTGTGTGTGAAGCAAATTAATGAAAAATAAAAGTATTTTGGGTAAAAGTATCATATAATTAATTTATTATTAATATTAATTAATATATTTATACAATAATATTAAATTATATATGTTTTTATTCCTTATAATTAATATATTTAATAATAAAATTCATATATTTATATGCAATATAATCCTGCTGCCAAATTTAGACCCAAAAAACCAGAGCCTGGTCAGCTTTTAAGGGAATTTAGGGGAATTTTGGGCATTGAGACAGAATTTTTGGACAATTTTCCAGCCCAGTCGCTTCTCCCCTCTCTCCCTCAAAACCTGTTTTGTGCAGGATGGAAAAAAAAAAATCCCCATTCCTTAGGAAAATTCAGTGAACTTTAGGGGAAATTTAACAGAATGACAGAAATTTTAACAGATGAGCAGAAATACACGAACAGAGCTGCTCTTGGAGTTCTGATTGCTGTAATTCCAATTCAGAGCTTTGAATATTTTCAATTCCGATTTCAAATTTTTATTTCCGATTCAGAGTTTGAGTGTTTTCCCATCCCCTCTTGGCTCATGTAGGGATTTTGAGCTTACACCTGCTTTTTTTATTTATTWTTTTTTTTGTATTGGAGACACTCCTGGCTCTCAGAATGCAATGGCAGATAAGAATTTGATCATTTAAATGAAATAAAATATCATTTCACTGGGGTGAAAAGGCARCAGGTGGGAATTATCCCTCTTTTCCCCAAGGAATGGGAATTCTGGGAAGATCTGAGAGGTGAGAGGGATAAAAATCAAAATTCTGTCCAAATTCTGATCCCTGCTCTGCTCTGAATTTTGCCTCTGCTCTGCTCGGGGAGTTTGGGTGACTCATTTCCTTCTGAGTCCACAGCTCCCTCCTGCTCCCGTCTGTTCAAATTCCAAATTTTTCCTGCCCGAAACAGAGCCCTGCACACACAAATGAAGGACCAGAAAACTCATTTAATGTGATTTTAATTGTCTATTTTTATCAGCTTTTAAATCAAATCATAGCCACCTACTTAAAATCAAATTTTTTTCCAGTTGTATTTTTTTTTAATAGAGAACTGATTTTTTCAGATTTTCCCTTTTACAGTTTGGCCTTGCCAAAACAATTAAATTTAAGAGAAAATTCTAGTTTACACCTGCTCTGTGGGTGTCAGTGAGGTGCTTCTTTGTGCCTCTGTTTCCAACTCTGATTTATTTCTGTTGTCCCATTTTCCCCTTTCTGCTGGTTGTTTTCCCATTTCTCCTCGACCAGTTGTTATTTTTGGGCAGCTTCTGTCTGGAATTAAAAAAAAAAAATAAAAAGAAAAATCAGTGTTGGTTTCCTGGGCAATTTCTCTGTTTTCATAACTGGTTTCTATTAACGGTTTTGAGACGAATCCCAGGAATTTKGAAGTTTTTCCAGCCAAAAGGGGGTGTTTAAATGTTGTTTAAATGTTTGTGCCATCCAACAGGGAGCTTTTGGAGCTCTGTGACCCTCTCTGAGGACAGAAAAACACTCGGGATTAAGGAGAATAATCCACGCAGCTGCAAAATTCTGGATGCTGCAGTTGAATTCCTCATTTGTGCATCTCCAGCTCTGTCCCAGACACTCTRCCCAGCTCAGCAGATCACAAACCTCGCAGCATTTCCCTCGCAGTGAATATCCTGCATTCCTGGACACCCACATCATGAATTTCTGCTCCCTGGGCGCTGAGGGAAGGGAGGATTTCAGCCGGAGATTCGAGACGGGAGGAAATTTTGAGGATTTGCTGCCCAAACCCTCGTGCTGCTCTCATTTCTCTGGTTTTGCTTTGAGGTGAAGCCCCTTGGGAGGGTCAGGTGGACACTCCAGGGATTTCTCCGTGGAATGGGTTTTTAAACAATCACGGGGGTTAGAAATCCCCATCCTTCAAGGTGTCCAAGGAATGCCTGGAGAAAGGAATTTCTCACTGATGATAAAAAGAGATTTGAT